TGTGGTCTGGCAGGGAAGGGAAGCCATGGGGTGCCCTAGCAGGTATCAGAAGGCAGCAGGGCAGGTGGGAGAGAGAAGGAGGAGAGGGGGAGGAGGCAGAGAGACTAATACCCATAGCCTAAGAGGAAAACAGCAGGCAGCCTAATGACTCATCAGTTAAGCAGTTAGCTGCTCCTTCACAAGTGCTCCCTCCCAGCAGTGCTTCATATTGGCTGTGTTATCTGGCTGGGTGTGCCTCCTTCCCCCGCCCCCGCCAGTCAAAGAGCCCCAGGAGCCATAGCGGCTCCCAGCAGCATTTGTGTCCCATCTAGTGTGCTACTATCAGTTAATCATAGAAAGTTAGGGTTGGAAGGGACCTCATTGTTTAAATCATATGATTAGAGGAGGTTAAATGAATATTTTTTAAATGATATTTACATCCTGAATACATTTATTTAATTATATAGTTCAGCAGTCAGCAATCTTCATCAGATGCTACTAAATAAATACGTTAAATAAAAATACCCAATTAAAAATGGATTGTTTTGAATGACTGATTTTTATCAACCCTGGTCCTTAGAGCAAAGGTGGTTGGCACGGCCTCTTCCCTTGGAGTGTCTTCAGCCATTCACATCCCTTTTAGACAGTGCCGTAGCAACTAAGTTTGGTGCCTGGGGCAAAGTCCTCAGCGGCAGCCCGCCCTCGCCCTGCGCACAGCGGTGGTGGCCCCTCCCCACCCCATGCTTGCCCAGGAGTGCACACAGCGGTGGAGCCACCTTCTCCTGTCTCTGTGCCCCCACAAACAAGTCACTCATGGTTCTGTCCTGCGCCCTGCCCTGTCTGGGCAGCACGTGCTGATGTCCCTTTGCTTTGACACACAGGGTGGTTGCCCTGCTCACCCCCACCCCCCTTGCTATGGCACTGCTTTTAGACCAGCAAGCTGAGCTCTTTTTATGCTGTGCTCCTTCCCAGCAGGCTTTCATAGACCCATGATCTCCTGTTGCAGCTGACCCCAAGAACTGTAGTACCCAACCTCCCTCAGTCCTGGGGAGGAGGGGAGTACTAGGCCACCTTGCACCTTGGAAATCCACTCCTGGGCCCTGAGCATGGCATCATCCCAGACCATAGAATTGCTGTCCAAGGCCACTTCCCTTCCCGTAACCTTTGAAGCAGGGCAGTGCTTTCTCCACCAGCCTCCCTTACTAGCCTAACACCCAAGTGAGTGCTTGGCATTCAGGCCTCAAACATCCAGTTCTGGAGTGCATAGTGGTTGTACACTTCCTGTTGACCCCTGTCCTGCTCCAGGCATCCTGTCCTTCCCAAAGCACAGAGGTTGAACTGGCAGATGCAAAAACCTCATGCATTGATAATTCTTGGGGGGAAATCTAATGTTCTCCTTGCAGTGGAAAGTTCTATCAATGGAGGCTCGTGCATTCTACAGCAAGGATGCAGCTATTACAGGCTCCAAAAAGGAATCTTTTAAACTATATGGATGCAGGTCATAAGTTTCAATTTCACTTCCAATCATAGCTATTGGCTTATTAAATGACAAAGTTGTACTGTATGAGTTATCCAGCATGGCCTGTAGTCACCTATGGGAAAAATCTTGTTGCTACAAAAAGGTGCCATAGGATATGTGAACCTATAATGTGCCTTTGCTATCTCTGGACCAGCTCTTCCCATTAAAGCATTACCATGAAGGTAGAGAGAGAAATAATTTGCCCCAAAAGTGTTATGAGATGTTAAGTAGTAGAACTTGCCTCCATTTTCATGCTGTTTTAAGTTCAGTGAAAGAGGCTGCCTCTATGAGTGCTTGTTAGAAGACCACTTTAGAAAATCTGAATATTGTGAGTATCATATGTTCCTCTGTTCAGAGAAAGTGTTCTGTAGTTAAGTAGCTGCTCATCTGTAACACTTTTCGTTACAGGGACCAAAGGGTGACCAAGGCAGCCCAGGGGTTAAAGTAAGTACTGTTCTGGATTTAGAGGAAGAACATCCTTTTTTTAAAAAAAAGGTGATAGGATGGGGACAAAGCTTAGCCATCATTCTAACACATGGAGTATCTTTTAAACCAGTCCTGGCACATGTCCTGTTCAGCATTGATTCAAATACTGAGGGGAGGGGGAACAGTGGGGTAGGGATGGCCATTTTGTTACTTGACTCATTCTGGATATAAAAGACCAGGCTGTCATGGAGCTGATTTAACCCAGCTGAGGTTCTGGGCTATGTGCCTTTGAGCTGCTCTGTCATGCTGTTCGGAAGCAATTCTTTCAGATTGTTTCGTCTCCGTACCTATAAGCCAAGGTGCATGGCACCATGGGTTCAAGTAGGGTGGAACAGGGAGGCTTTAAGAATAGTTGCTTTTTAAAACACGCTGACAAAAAGTCACACTGAATTATTTTTCTCTGTCAGGGTGAACGAGGTCAAGATGGAGTTGGACTGCCAGGTCCCCCTGGGCCCCCAGGACCACCAGGAGAGATTGTCTATGCCTCCAATGTAAGTGTGTTTTCCCTTCCCTGTCTGGCACCTCTTTGTGCAGTCTAGCACGAGCACATTGTCTTTTGAGCACGAGCCATTATCGTCTCCTGCAGGCTATTTTGGGAAAGTTAGTGCAGTCTTGACTCCTTGTTTGAGGAGTGACTTTCATTCTGAACCAGCTCAAGGAAATTACTGCTTCCTCATTTTGACTAATGTGGCTGTATGCTCTAAAACTAAAAGGATTTTGAAAGCCTTGAGTCACTGCTGCCCAGGCCTGTGGGCTTGGTAATGCCCTGAGCCTGCAGACATTCTTGTGGGTAAATATACTCACACCTGAATAAAATCGTGCCTGTATGTAACTGAGGGCAGGATGAGGGTAAGATTTAGTACTAGCATTAAGAGAGGACACACATGCTTCATATCAAATGAAAGATGAGTTTTTTGGCGTTGGTCACCCTGCAAATGCTCACGTACCAAGCTTCCCCTTCTGAGGTTATCAGGGCTACTCATGTCCTCAGTGAAGTGAGCTACGGAGCCTGGATAAGCCCAGGAGCATGCAAGAAGCCATCCCTGTGGTCAGCTGGGCTCCATGGGAATGCAGGGCTCTTCCTATCTGGATCCAGCCACAGAAAACTGCTGGGGGAGTAGACGCTGCTGTTGCCTCTCAGAATAGGGTGGACTAATGTTACCTCAACTTGAAAACTGAATGAGGGGCCACGGAGCAGGTGAAGAGGTTCCATAACAGGTGGAAAGATTTAAAAAGAGAGGAGAGGGCTGAAGATAAAACACTCAGACCTTGGAGATAGGCAGTAAACAGCTGGCTCTCCAGACCAAAACTAGGTCGATGTAGCACAACAGAAAATCAGCATGAAGGTCCCAGTTGTGTAAGCATTTTCACATGGAAGTAATTTTAGACCTAACGCTGTTGTTGTGCATGTACAGTTACTCAGGGGTCTAAACACCTGTAGGATCTGATTCTCAAAATAATGAAAAATAGGCACCAGAAGAAGTTTAAAATTAAAAGTGCTAGCAGAACAAAATTAAAATCTAGTAAAAAGGTGGCTGTTAAGCTGAAGTTAGTAATAGGCAAAGTCATTTCAAAAATAACTGCTGAAGGTGTTCTGAATGTCTCTGAACCCAGGTTGCCTGCCTGGTTATCTGTTGTTGTTTCTTTGCCTTTTTAAATGAAACCGTGTGCATGAAGCAATATTCCCAACAGGAGCTTGCTATGGAAATCATAAATGAAAGTTATGTCTATGGAAAAAGGAACATGTCTGTTGGTGGGAAAGGGCAAAAATCAATAGAAATCCAAAATGCTACCTTGGGTTCTACTGAGGCAGCTTGAGGGAGGGGAAGAGTTTCAACCCCTTTTCTGCAAGCCTAGGGTCTGCTTCAACACCCATTTAAGTTTATGGGATGTATCTTATTGATTCTGGTAAGCTTTGGATCAGACCCATTGACTTCATTTTGGGCTTTACCTTGGGAAACCAATGGGAGAAAGTAAGGATTAGATTTTTCAATGTGTATTTTGGGTTTTTTTGTTTTTGTTTTTTTAGAAAACATTGGCTGTTTTGCCAGGCCCAGAGGTATGTGACCCTTACCTTTCCCTTGTTGGTCTGTGAGAGTGACGTTATTGTCCCTCCTTCTTATTGACTTGTTTTAACTTAGTCCATTTTCCACAAAGAGGTAGTTTTCTGAGCTGTGTCCTTGTTGTTCCTTCCCTCAGGGCAGACCAGGTCATGCTGGCTTCCCGGTGAGTCACTTTTTGGGTTTTTATTTGGTGGAGCCATGGTAGGTAATGTTAATGCTGCCAGAATCACGTGTGATGAGTCCATAACCATAGTGAACTTTTTAAACCAACACTCCACGTATGAACATCCACAGATCCGGCTGTGGTCAGAACCTCGGCCTGGTTCCAAATATTGTGGTTTGAGTTCCCCCCTAAACCAGATCCCCAGCTGATGTACCCCAATATCACTCCACAATAGGGTCAAATTCTCAGCTGGTATAAACTGGTAAAACTTCACTGGAGTTGGTGGAAAGAGGGAGGAAAGGGGAGACTGGAGCAGTGTTTGAGTCTCAGCCCTATGGTTAGGGCTTAGCTCCCACTTGTGTGAAGGAATGCCTTTGATGTATGCCAGTGGTTTGCATTTGCAGTCACCCTGATTTTCTGTGGCCAAATGTGGGGAATATTTGGTAGGGATGCTGGTATCATAATGCACCTTTTTCACTGTTATTCCTCTGTCTCTCTGTCTGTAGGGCCCAGTGGGACCTAAAGGAGAGGCAGGATCCCCAGGGCTCCAAGGCTTTCCAGGGCTGAAGGTAGGTTGGCTTGTTCATGCTGGTTTCTCCATGTCAGGCTGCAGCGTTCTGCCTCTGCATTTTGATTCCTGGGAACATCATTCCCTGTTGCTTCAAGGTTGCTGTTCTCAGGTTTGGGTTTCCCATCCCATCGTCCTGTTGATTTTATGCAGAGGCACTAAATTCAGCTGTTTCACAACTCAGATTCTGCAACTGCTGCAGTCCAGAGATAACCCACACAGTTGGACACAAATGAATATGGTGCTTTATACTTAGTTTTTTAACTCATCGGAGTAAAGATTATCTGACAAACTGAAGATGTAAAGTAAGATCATCTGGTGGCTCACTCTCCAATAAATGCTGCAGCATTGCTCCCTACTGTGCAGGGGATCAGTCTGGTTTAAATATCTCTAGTGATGGATCTTTCACTCCTTCAGTTTGGAAGCCACAGTATGGCCTAGGGCTAAGTTATAACTTTCATTAGCATCCATATGAAGCAAAGCTGTGCAGAGTCAGTGATGCTTAGTGGCCTGCCCAAAGTGCACAGTGTGAAGGTGTTCTTTGATCTCCTGTGTTGGCAAGGCACAGAGCTGATGGAGAAGGGGAAGAAAAAAATCATAAAAAAGTAGGACTGGAAGGGACCTCAGGAGGTCATCTGGTCCAGCCCCCTGCTCGAGGCAGGTACATCCTTATCCAAAGCATCCCATACAAGTCCTTTTCTAAACAATTCCTAAAATTCCACAAACAGCCCTGTCACACAGCTACAAGATGCATAGTCCAAGGACACAAGGCAAAGCAGGGGCGTGATGCCATTGTCAATATTTTACCACTGCAGGGTTGTTAAATACACACAAGATTCAAGGAAAAGAACTAAAGCCCCTATCTATTTGTAAATTATACCTCTCTAAATCAGTCTGTTTTTGGGACAATGTGGTGTACGTTGCATCATACAACACTGTGTGCACAGATACAGTTTAGCCCTCCGTGGGTCTAGCTGGATTGGATTTCTCTTTCAAGAGACTCCATGCAAAGTATTAATTCTGAGTTGCAGCTCTCCATGACTCTTTGCTGTGCCATAGGAGAGCTCTGCAAAGTCTTTTACTGTTTGGTGTGGAGGGGGTTGCTGCCAGTTTGATTCCTCCTTGTTTTTGTTTTCTACTGCTAGGGTGAAAAAGGAGAGCCTGGAGTGATCATTGGCCCAGATGGGACAGTCACAGCCCTTGACACAAAAGGAGAAAAGGTCCATACATTTATTTGAGCTTTAAGTGGGAATCATTTGGACATTTACCTGGCTCTTTAGCATTGTGCAAGCTGGAGGATGTCCTGGTGCACAGCCCCAGCCAAGTAGAGCACCACTTCCAGGAGAAGCAGGAATGGCTGGCTGGGAAGGACCTTTTTAGGGGCCAGCCTGCCTGCTCACTTGAAAATGCTCCTGTGCCAGCCAGTCACGTTCATCAGTGGCAGGCGTCAGTGTGTGAGGGGACTTTCCCAATCTCCCTGGCAGCTCTGGGGATGTGGGGGCTGCTGTGGGTGGCTATGGCACATTGAACTGCTCCTTTCTCTTTTTACTTCAGAATTCCTCAGTGAGGACACTGAACTACTCAGCTGTCTCCCAACTTCCTACCCCGTAGCTCTGTGGCCACAAAGTCTGTTTGCTTTGTTTGTCAGGACCCTGAGTACTGGCTCATGACTTGAAATGTTCCTGCTACATGGGAATCAGTCAGGGATCTCATCAACAACACTCACATGATTTTCCCTATACCTGAGGGCCCCTGTTTACTAGAGAGTATTGGAGCAGTAGGAATGAATAAGAGCCCAGATGCTTTCTAGTCACTTGGCTGCAAGAGCTGTTAGTGGGAGAGATGACTGGGGGCAAGCAGTGGGGTAGCCACAGTTACATTAAGAACAACTCTTTCTCCTGTTTCTTTCCACACAGGGTGAACCGGGGCTGAGGGGACCAGTGGGCCCACCGGTAAGACACCAGCTACATTCCTTTTGTATTGTGTGGCTAAGGAATGACTTTTTCATGTTGTCTGTAGGGCAAGGATTCACTGAAACTGAGGATGGCCCAAATGAGTGACACAGTATTGCCATCCCCACTGTGTCAAAAATCATGAGACAAACTCTTAAAAATCAAGAGATTTCACAAGTGAATCATGAGATGCTATTTTTGAAGTGTGCATGTGTGTGTTGGGGGGAGTTGCTTGTGAAGATGTGGGGGGCTCTGTGTGTGTGTGTGTGTGTGTGTGTGTATGGGCTTTAGAGCCTGGGGGGGTCCCTGGACAACTTGGCAGAATGTGGGGTACTGCGGG